GCAGCAGCAGCAGCAGCAGCAGCAGCGGCAGCAGCGGGCCTTCGTGTTGGGTAGCACTTGCATTTGGCTGCTGCTTTTGCAAAGCAACTTCAAATACTTTATTTTCGCGGCTAGCTAACGCGGTGGCTAGTTAGCTGCCTTTTTAGCTATATAGGAGCTAGCTAGCTAGCTAGCTAGCTGGCTAAAATCTGGGGGCTGACCTGGGCCTGCTCGAGGAGCGCCTTCCTATCATGCTGCTGCATCAGGTGCAGCTGCTCCTGCTGCTCCTGCTGCTGCTCCTGCTGCTGCTGCTGCGCTGCAGCAGCAGCAGCAGCAGTTTCCACAGAAACCTTAAGCGAATGTTCCCCAGCATCCAGCAGCAGCTTCAAAGCATTTTGGGGGCCCCGCTGCTCCCCCAGCCAAAGGCCTTCCGCCACTTCTATTCCCACGCTGAAACGCATGCATGCAAAGCCCCAAACGCCTTGCATGCATGCACGCATGCATGCATGCGTGCGTGCATGCGTGCGTGCATGCGTGCGTGCATGCATGCATGCGTGCATGCGTGCGTGCATGCATGCGTGCATGCGTGCGTGCATGCAAATGTCCAAGTGTCCTGGACGCATGCATGCATGGATGCATGCATGCATGGATGCATGCATGCATGGATGCATGCATGCATGAATGAATGCGCTCGTGCATGCAGAGCCCCAAATGAAAGAAAACAGCAAAGGAATGCAGGAGCCTTCTTGCAGATTCTGGTGCTGCTAGCTGGAGGCGGAATGGATGGCTAGCTGGCGAGTAGTTAGCTAGCCAACCGGCTAGCCAGCTAGCTAGTAAGCTAGCTAGCGAGCTAGCTAAACAGCTAATTAACTAATAGGCCAGCCAGCCACCCAGCTGGCTAGCTAGCTAGCCACCATCCTAGCTAGCTAGCCAAGCAGCTGGCTAGCTAGCCAGCTAGCTAGCTAGCTGGCTAGCTTGTGAACGGCCTTTGATTATTTTACTTGACTCCTTTTGGATTTAAAAAATGGATTAAAATGTGGAAATGAATCTAAATTTGACTTGAAAATAAAATAAAATGAATTAAAATTAAAATGCATTAAAATTAAAATGAATTTAATTTAAAACTCACCGAACGAAATCCACAACAAAGTTGGACCCGACCTCCGCATACACCACAGAGGGGGAGGAGAGGTGCAGCGGCAGCGACAGCAGCTCGCCCTGCATGCAGCAAAAGAAAAAGATATAAAAATGCAAAAAAATGTTTTAATTAATTTAAGTGAATTCCATTTGATTAATTCTTGCTTTCCGCCATCTTCGGGTGTACAGACAGCCGAAAAAAGCGCGAAAAACCACCCAAAATACCCCAAACCCGACCCCAGACCCTAAACCCTAAACCCTAAACCCTAAACCCTAATTACCGTCTCCTTAATGGCCCCAAACTCCACTCCAAACACAAGTTGTTCGCTCTCAAACTCTTCAGGAATTGGAGATGGCAAAGAGACAACTGGCAACGTTGCGCTGCATGCGGGGGCCCCCCTGGGGGCCCCCAGGGGGCCCCCCAGGGAGCCGCCGGGGGCCCCCCCATAGGGGGCCCCCCGGGGGCCCCTCAGGGAATCCCTAAGGGCGTCGATGGACATGATAGCTGAATTGCATGCGCATGCAAGGAATGCATGCATTGGATTTGGGGGCTTCTGCAGGTTTTGGAGCTTTTCCCGAATAAAAAGGGTTTAGGGTTTAGGGTTTAGGGTTTAGGGTTTGGGGTTTAGGGTTTAGGGTTTGGGGCCCCGCACCTATTGTGGTCAAGAACGGCTCAGAACCCTCGAAGGCCAGGCTGTAGGCGCCTGGCTGCAGCAGCGCGAAGAGGTTGTTATTTGCTGCCTCAGCAACAGGCACCAGCTCCTTCCCGCTGCTGCTGCTGCTGCTGCTGCTGCTGCTGCTGCTGCTGCTGCTGCTGGGGAAGATCTGAATTTTCAGCTGCCCGTCAGAGGCCAAGGCGGGTTCTGCTGCAACCCGAAGGACAGTGGGTTTGCTGACGTGCAGACTGGACCTCACCACTGCCTGCTGCTGCTGCTGCTGCTGCTGCTGCTGCTGCTGCTGCAGCTGGTGGTCGGGGTCCTTGTGGAAGCCAAAGACAGAAGTCGCGTAGATCGGCACGTCAGGGTTCGCCAGCCACCCCCTGCAGCCCCACAGCGCCGCATGCAGCCCCAAAACGCATGCATGCATGCATGCATGCATGCATGCATGCATGCATGCAAGAGTGCCAGCAGCAGCGTTGGGGCTTGTATGCATGCACGCATGCATGCATTCCAGGCCCCAAGTCTTAGAAGTCCCGAACACTCCGCGACCACCACCGCATGCGTCAGCCCCAAAACCCCACACCCACGCATGCATGCATGCATTCACGCACACACGCATGCGTGCATGCGTGCATGCATGCATGCGTGCATGCATGCATGCATGCGTTTTGGGGCTTGTGGCGCACCTGGAGTTGAAAGAACGCGGCAAAGGCTCGACAGGCAAAAGGTCTGGGACTTCGAGGAGTTCCGCTCGGACGGCGTTGAGGAGTGCGGAGTTGTTTTCCCCCAGCTGCGCCAAACCCTAAACCCTAAACCCTAAACCCTAAACCCTAAACCCTAAACCCTAATTCTGAACGCTTGGAGGAAACTCGCGAAGGGAAATTGCCACCCACTTCCGCGTTTATCGTCGCGTGCGCACACAGCTGCTCCGTCTCTGGCTGAGCCTGCAGCAAACCCCAAACCCTAAACCCTAAACGCAAAACCCTAAACCCTAAACCCTAAATCCTACAGGCCCTGAGCTCAAAACTTGCTCTGCCGCTACAAGCCCCAAACCCAGTTCTCCCCGTGCCCTAAAAGACCCAAACCCTAAACCCTAAACCCCAAACCCCAAACCCTAAGCCCTAAACCCTAAACCCTAATCGAACCTGGTCATAAATAACAAACTTCAAAATGTAGTCTCCCCCAGGGAGGTCTCGAGAGAGCAGCAAAATTCGGTTTTCGGTATATTCAGAAACAGCGCTGAAAAGAAAAAAGAAAAATAAATTAATTTTAAAATCAAACTAAATTAACTCAATTAAATTAATTAAATTAATTAATAAATAAAATAAATCTAATTAACTAATTAATTAATTAATTTAATTAATTTAATTAATTTAATTAAATTTAATTAAATTACACTGGAGCTTTTCGAAGTCCTTCTTCTTCTCTTCGGTGCAGCTCCAGACGCAGCGGCAGCCACGCCGGCTGTAGAGACACCTCAACTCTCAAGCTGCAGCAGCAGCAGCAGCAGCAGCGGTTGTAGTCGCAGGAGTTTAAAAGGAGGCCGAAAAGGATTCAAAAGTTTAAAAAACGCGAAAAATGGTTTAAAACCGCCAAA